AGTTTCCCTGTGGAGCTGTTGTGCTGCGACGCTGCCAGCTCAGCTTTAGCAGCACGGGGAAAACGGTCTCTGCTCTGGTTTTAGTGCACTGAGTCCAGCACTGTTCCTGAGCCTAGCTGAGTCCTGGTTTTGGACACTGGGAACTGAGTCCTGGTTTTGGACACTGGGAACTGAGTCCTGGTTTTGGACACTGGGATGGGTTAATTCTTGTTGGGGTTTTTACACCAAAAAACAATCCCATTTAGTCACTGCTGCCTTTGCTTAGCATGTCTGGGCCTGACGCGAGGGGACTGTGCAGGCTGGAGAGGCCTCTGCACTCAGCAGCTGCCACCAGGCAGCGATGGGGCTGGTCAGCCCGGGAGCTGAGGAACTGCAAAGAGGAGGGAGGATCTGCCTTCATGATGCGTGTGCCTGGGAGGTGGAAAGCATCGTGTTGGAGCACAAAACAAACTCCCAAGTGTCCGTATTGGCTGTGATCCCTGCAGCTCCCTGCTTGCATGCCCTGTGTGGCCAGCAAGTGCTCCCACGTTAATCAGTGCTGAGCTTCTCTTGCATCCACAGAAGCAGCAAAGAGCTGCTGTTGCAGCCAGTGATCATCAGCAGGAACGAGAAGGAAAAGGTCCTTATAGAGGGATCCATTAACTCTGTGCGAGTCAGCATTGCAGTGAAACAGGTGAGCTGGTGGGAGGGGAGAGAACAGGCCGGTGGCTTGTGTGTTGCTTGGAGGAAGCCTCACTTCTGCTTTCTCTCTGCAGGCTGATGAGATCGAGAAGATCTTGTGCCATAAATTCATGCGTTTTATGATGATGAGGGCTGAGAACTTCTTCATCCTGCGCAGGAAGCCTGTGGAGGTGAGGTGACCCGTGGAGCTGCAGAGCAGCATCCTGCTGTGCTTTTGGCACTGCTGGGGAGAGGGGGGGGTCTCCAGAGCCGAAAGAGGACGTGTGGTCACGGGGTTGGTGCGCTAACTGTTTCTGCCACTTCTCTCTTCTCCAGGGCTACGACATCAGCTTTTTGATCACAAACTTCCACACAGAGCAGATGTACAAGCACAAGCTCGTGGACTTTGTGATCCATTTCATGGAGGAGATCGACAAGGAGATCAGTGAGATGAAGCTGTCTGTCAACGCCAGGGCTCGCATCGTGGCAGAGGAGTTCCTCAAGAACGTGAGGCTCTAAAGCGGGAGGCGATGGTTCCCGTGTCTCTGGACGAGGGTGCAGCTCCGGCCTGCCGTGACCCTCGCGCGCGGAAGCCTGGCCCCGGGCTGTCCCCGTCCGGGGCGCAGGTGGCGGGAGCGCCCCTGGGA